TTTTTTTTTTTTTTTTTTGAGTGTCACACGTATGTGCATGCAACTATATGAAACCCTTTTAAGTTATATATACTAATCTCGTGAGTGTCCCTCGCGCAGGCTAAACTGTTGGGCGGGAATGCCATTATCGGTTATCAGGAGCATCTGAACTTGGAGGGAGGCACGACAAACAAGTAAGTTTCCATTCTTAACATGTCTTCACTGCGATGTAGTTTACCCCACCCCATGTTGATGCTCTCTACCTGCATGTGATCACTGTTACACTCGACTCATTTTACACCCCCTTTGCCGCACACAGAATTTGTATTCGTATCATAGGAACAGTCGTGAAGCTAGGGGTGAAGAACCTGAACGACCCCAACTACGCTACCCCCGGGGGAAACAGAATCATAAAGAATATTTTGCGCAACAATGAGCTCCTGCGGCAAAACAGCTTGGAAAAAACTAAGGACATGAAATTGCACAAGAGGGATAGCACTCTCCCAAACTCAACCTTCAATTTTGTAGATGTGATTTTGCTCACCGTCGACTCGCTTCCAAACAGTGTGAAATATACTTATGGTAGGTTTTCTCCCGAGGGAGACACGATGGAAGTTGTAACTGTGTTCACGTGCGTGGAGGGCGAGCACGCTCACATACACAAACATGTGCGCATAACCCCTTGTCCGTTCGTAGGAGGACTTGTCGCCGCCAAGTCCGTGAAGGTTTTGCACCAACGGCTGACGGAGCAGCACCGAGACGAATGGCTCCTCGAGATAAGGGACGAAGTAAGGGCCAAGGGGAAAAACAAAAAAAAAAAAAAAAAAAAATTAAATAAGCAAACCAGCAAAATTACGCCCTCTAACAGAGCCATGAGTAGGTAACATGCACAGACGCGTCTTTCTCTTCCATCCTCCCACCCCCACCCCGTAGATCAAATCGAATGCAACGTTTTTATCTTGCAACGTCATTTTGGGTAACACATACAATGCACACTCGTGTGGAGGGATAATGCACATGGCGGGAAATGCTTCTGTCCATACGCGATTGTGTTCAGGCTGATATACATCAGTGCATGAAGCTGAAGTGATAACGCCTCAGAGCTATCTGCGAATGAATGTGTTCTTCATCACTTTTTTTTTTTTTTTTTTTTTTTTTTTTTTTGAGTGTCACACGTATGTGCATGCAACTATATGAAACCCTTTTAAGTTATATATACTAATCTCGTGAGTGTCCCTCGCGCAGGCTAAACTGTTGGGCGGGAATGCCATTATCGGTTATCAGGAGCATCTGAACTTGGAGGGAGGCACGACAAACAAGTAAGTTTCCATTCTTAACATGTCTTCACTGCGATGTAGTTTACCCCACCCCATGTTGATGCTCTCTACCTGCATGTGATCACTGTTACACTCGACTCATTTTACACCCCCTTTGCCGCACACAGAATTTGTATTCGTATCATAGGAACAGTCGTGAAGCTAGGGGTGAAGAACCTGAACGACCCCAACTACGCTACCCCCGGGGGAAACAGAATCATAAAGAATATTTTGCGCAACAATGAGCTCCTGCGGCAAAACAGCTTGGAAAAAACTAAGGACATGAAATTGCACAAGAGGGATAGCACTCTCCCAAACTCAACCTTCAATTTTGTAGATGTGATTTTGCTCACCGTCGACTCGCTTCCAAACAGTGTGAAATATACTTATGGTAGGTTTTCTCCCGAGGGAGACACGATGGAAGTTGTAACTGTGTTCACGTGCGTGGAGGGCGAGCACGCTCACATACACAAACATGTGCGCATAACCCCTTGTCCGTTCGTAGGAGGACTTGTCGCCGCCAAGTCCGTGAAGGTTTTGCACCAACGGCTGACGGAGCAGCACCGAGACGAATGGCTCCTCGAGATAAGGGACGAAGTAAGGGCCAAGGGGAAAAACAAAAAAAAAAAAAAAAAAAAT